TGGCGTAGATAGTGCGACGGTTCCAGACGACGTACAATTGTTGGCGTGGCCCCCGTCTCTTCCGCCTTGGTGCGCGGTACGCTGACGCGCCATATGCGGCTTCCTCTGGCTTGCCCGCTGGGGACATATTCAATGATATATTCGCGCGTGTTTAAAGTGTCGAAGCTTTCGACACGTTCATTTCGGACCATGGGGACGCGTGGCCATCGTCTCATGTCGACGACGTCAGCGTGACGACGGACGGGTCGGAGTTTGAAGTAGTGAGGGGCATAACCAAGGCAGCAGCTGCGCTGTGCATCTTTTTTAGAGATGAGCTCCGTGTTGCGGTTCACCCTGATGCGGTATGCACGTGCGGCCGTTCCGTGGCACTGGCCATGGCCATCGCGCGCCACTTGGGCGCCGGGCGAAGTCTCCAACAGCGCGGTCTCCCTCGGCACCGACTTGGCTGCTGCCCAAAGGAGATCTGCGACCCGTGCGTTATGGAAACGCAAGACACGCCTTCGTGACATGCATCGTCGGCATCGCGTGCTCCAGCGCCATCGTAGCGCCCTCCGTCGGCAGCAAGGTCGCACGGGGGAAATATACGTTGTTGGAGCGCTGTCAGCGGCTACTTTATGTTCGGGGGTCGCTGGGTTGGGCGACCAGGAACTCTTCCAAGCCCGTCGTGTTCTCCTGTCTTACAACCCCCCTCCACCCCCCCTGACAGAAAGGGTGCTCCTTCAAGGCCAAACTCCCGATCCTTGGGGGCCCCATGTAGCGGGGAGCTGTGGCCCCTGTGCTTCATTGGGCGGGGTCTGTCTGGACGGCGCTCACGTGGCCTAGAGTTTCTCTGCGCGCTGTCAACGGGCTGTGCGACATTTGGCGCGCCATCCCGTTCGATGACCAGGTCACTTGGCGCAAGTCCAGGGGGCCCACCCAGCGCGTGCACCTCGACCTCCATTGGATGGGGTTCCACGTCGGCGCTGACCTTTCGTGATGACCGGGGCAAGGAGATACATGGTGGGTGCACCTCTCCTGCCGCGCTTTCCCACTTGCTGGGCCTGGCCACCCAACGGGCCCACGAGCGGGCCTTAGCGGCTTGCGCCCCTGGGTTCAATTGGGCCCGCGTTTGCGCGGGCCCCCTCAAGAAGCCCTTCGGATCCCAAGCGAAAGGTCTCAGCCCGCGAGAGAAGTACCTTGCTCCCATGTGTTTTTGCAGAGGCGCGTGGGCACGCGCCCAGGCCCGCTCGCGCGGGCATCAGACGACTGGATTGTGCCTTCTTTGTGGGCAACCAGATGGCGTGCGCCATCGGCTTTGGCAGCGCATGCACCCCGCTGCCGCTCAAGCTCGAGCTGACGCTCTGGAGGGGATGCCTGTGGAGTGGCGCGCCGAGGCCCTCGAGAGCGACGACAGGTTGCTCTTCGATGATGAAATGGAACTATCCGGAATCCCCCTCCCCTCCCCTGCCGCGCATCCTAACCCCGCACTATATGATGCCCTGGTGTTGCCGTGCCTTGGGATTCCATTGATCTGCGATGGCTCGATGTTTGCGTTGACGGCTCGGCTGTTGGCCATGCTATCCGCGAGTTGTCTCGGGCCTCCTACTCCTGGATTTCCTTGGTACCTGGAGTTGACGAGGCGGTTGCTATCGTTCCAGGCACGCATTCGACACCTTGCCGCAAACGTCTCGAACCGCAGAGCATCAGGCCATGGCGCTGACCCCGATGTTTCAGAAGTCCGGGGGAGCGGGTACGGGGACAGCACGACGGTTACCAAGCTCTGTCGCGCAGACCCTTCGCGCCAAGTTTCAAGCAAGCACCGTCGTGCTGAGCTTCGGCGTGGATCGCGGATGCACGAGGCGACGGGCCATGCCTCTCCAGTCATACACACACCTGCCCACCGTGAATGGAGTGTCATCGATGCTCTGCCCGGTGAGGAACGGCGCATCGCACTGGGGAGTTGGCATGCGGATGCCCCGGCCAAGAAAGCTCTCCTCTCCCACACCCAGCCTTCACCGCTCGAAACTGGAGAGGGGGACCAGAGATGTAACATGCTCCGTGTCATTGCGCGTGTTTGTGGTACGTGTTTGTTTGGTTTCCCTCAGGATAGGTTCGAGCGCTCGATTGTGGGGCCCAGGACCAAGCTTTTTAAAATCAGGTGGCTGGCATTCGCGGCAGGATCTCGAGCAAGCAGGGGCTCGTCGCGTGCACTGCCTAGCTTTATGGGGCGAGCCGATATCCAGACCCATGTTCGGTTGTAAAGGTATGACCAGCACGCGTCGTAAAACCCTGGACATTCCTCTCGGGCACACTCTGGCACACTGCATCGTGCTCAAAGGTGATGTTGATCACGCGTAGTTCTTTTGCACGGTTTGCGGAGCCTGCATTTCGAGTCGCTGTCACAAAGTTAGGTCAGGAGTGCAATCAGCAGCGTTTGGTTGGAGGCCCGACCACGTTGCGCCGAATCTGCGATGGTCGTTATCCACACTACTGTGATTCTTCTAGGCTCACGACCGGCTCACGCAGAGGAGCTGCGCACTTGTGCTTTGCAGCCAGACATCCTCCGCCGCGAGAGGTCGGAGCCCCCGCGGCGACGCCAGCTGGTCTTGGTCCGACCCCAGGCATGCTAGCGCTGCTGGCGCGCAATCAGGCACGCGAGGCCAACACGGGCCCCGCCTCTGCGCATGTCCAGGGGGCGGTTGCAATTGTTAGCTTGGCCGCCCCCGCAGACAGACTTGACCTTGGTGGGAGTCAGGCACCGCCTGCCGTTCCCCCCCCCCCGAGTGCTCTGATCCCTCTGCCGACTTTGATGCGGGGGGGAAGCAGCATGTTACCCCCACTCGGAGGTGGGGAGCGCGGGTGGCGAGAGCTGGGCGGTGCCTGTTCCGAGGCAGGCTGGAGCTCCCTTCGCCCGCGAGGAGGCCGCGGCTCCTCTGAGCGCTGGTTCGTTTGGTGGTTTGGCTGCTCCCGCCCAAGCCCATGTCCTGGGTGAGGGGCAGGCATCGCCTGCCGCTGCCGCCTCCTCTGCGTACGCCGACCCCTCTGCCGTCTTTGCTGCGGGGGCGGTCGCTGCGCGTCTTATCCAAACGGAGGTGGGGGGACTGGATGGCGAGAGCGGGGCGACGCCTGTATTGGGGTAGGCTGGTGCGCCACTGTCTCGCGAGGAGGGCGAAGCACCTCTCGAGACGAGGGTGGGCATTGAGTCGGACGGCTCCGATTGATTCCTACAGCGGGTTAGTGCACGAGTTCTGTCACTTCTTCATGCAGTCCTTGTGACACAACCCGTTTTTTCGGCTGGAGGCACGTTGACTGCACGCCATCGGTGCTACAGTTGCCTGTGCATTCTGGCCGCACTGCGGCCACAGCATCCCGTGTACCGCCTCATACTGTTTCTGTTTCGGTTGGGGGCTCGAGCATCTGCCTCGGGCGCCTTGTTGATGGCACGCTTGCCCGCATGTCATGCACCAAGGGGACCGATAGTGAAACAACAAGTCATCCTCATCCCCTTCCTCCTCCTCCTCCTCCTCCTCCTCCTCCTCCTCCTC